AAATCTATACAAAACTAGAAGAGTATGGGATGGTCCTAAACTAATTTTATGATTAAATTTTTTTTATTTTTAGAAAAAAAAACCTTTCTATGGTAGGTATTTCCGAACAGTAGTTTATGTTTTAACATTAAATTTGATCAAAATTCTATTAAAATAAAAATCTATACAAAACTAGAAGAGTATGGGATGGTCCTAAACTAATTTTATGATTAAATTTTTCATTTTTAGAAAAAAAAAAAAAAAAAAAAACCTTTCTATGGTAGGTATTTCCGAACAGTAGTTTATGTTTTAACATTAAATTTGATCAAAATTCTATTAAAATAAAAATCTATACAAAACTAGAAGAGTATGGGATGGTCCTAAACTAATTTTATGATTAAATTTTTCATTTTTAGAAAAAACCTTTCTATGGTGGGTATTTCCGAACAATAGTTAATGGTTTAACATTAAATTTGATCAAAATTCTATTAAAATAAAAATCTATACAAAACTAGAAGAGTATGGGATGGTCCTAAACTAATTTTATGATTAAATTTTTCATTTTTAGAAAAAACCTTTCTATGGTGGGTATTTCCGAACAATAGTTAATGGTTTAACATTAAATTTGATCAAAATTCTATTAAAATAAAAATCTATACAAAACTAGAAGAGTATGGGATGGTCCTAAACTAATTTTATGATTAAATTTTTCATTTTTAGAAAAAACCTTTCTATGGTGGGTATTTCCGAACAATAGTTAATGGTTTAACATTAAATTTGATCAAAATTCTATTAAAATAAAAATCTATACAAAACTAGAAGAGTATGGGATGGTCCTAAACTAATTTTATGATTAAATTTTTCATTTTTAGAAAAAACCTTTCTATGGTGGGTATTTCCGAACAATAGTTAATGGTTTAACATTAAATTTGATCAAAATTCTATTAAAATAAAAATCTATACAAAACTAGAAGAGTATGGGATGGTCCTAAACTAATTTTATGATTAAATTTTTCATTTTTAGAAAAAACCTTTCTATGGTGGGTATTTCCGAACAATAGTTAATGGTTTAACATTAAATTTGATCAAAATTCTATTAAAATAAAAATCTATACAAAACTAGAAGAGTATGGGATGGTCCTAAACTAATTTTATGATTAAATTTTTCATTTTTAGAAAAAACCTTTCTATGGTGGGTATTTCCGAACAATAGTTAATGGTTTAACATTAAATTTGATCAAAATTCTATTAAAATAAAAATCTATACAAAACTAGAAGAGTATGGGATGGTCCTAAACTAATTTTATGATTAAATTTTTCATTTTTAGAAAAAACCTTTCTATGGTGGGTATTTCCGAACAATAGTTAATGGTTTAACATTAAATTTGATCAAAATTCTATTAAAATAAAAATCTATACAAAACTAGAAGAGTATGGGATGGTCCTAAACTAATTTTATGATTAAATTTTTTTATTTTTAGAAAAAAAAACCTTTCTATGGTAGGTATTTCCGAACAGTAGTTTATGTTTTAACATTAAATTTGATCAAAATTCTATTAAAATAAAAATCTATACAAAACTAGAAGAGTATGGGAGGGTCCTAAACTAATTTTATGATTAAATTTTTTTTATTTTTAGAAAAAAAAACCTTTCTATGGTAGGTATTTCCGAACAGTAGTTTATGTTTTAACATTAAATTTGATCAAAATTCTATTAAAATAAAAATCTATACAAAACTAGAAGAGTATGGGATGGTCCTAAACTAATTTTATGATTAAATTTTTTCATTTTTAGAAAAAACCTTTCTATGGTAGGTATTTCCGAACAGTAGTTTATGTTTTAACATTAAATTTGATCAAAATTCTATTAAAATAAAAATATATACAAAAGTAACCGAACTTGATAAAGTTACGTGGTTCAAACAAATTATCCTACCTACAATATGATTCTCATTCTATAGTACATTATTAGTTGATATGGAAACCTTCAAATCGAGGTGCAGTGCCTGATTGCCCTTCAGCAATAAAATCTTCTTCTTTTAAGGTACATAATCGTACCGACCCAATATTAATGTATAAATTACCTAAATGATTTTATACCCCTTTCATTTTACCAATTCGAGTTTTGTTACAGTAAAAAACTCTCAAAATCAGTCACATTTAATTTTTTTGTTACAGTAAAAAGCTCTCACATAAAATCACATCTCAACTCGAATTAAAAACTCGAATCAACGAACTGAACGGGAGCACACATACATTAATTAAATAATTGTTCTTCTATCAATGATGTTGGATTTTTATCCTTTATTAATATTATTTCAGAACTTAAGGAAGCAAATAAGATTTTCAAGCTCGAGGTCGATCGAACTTACATCTTGTTCGCTTGTCTTTACTTTATTTTTTAATGGATATGTCCTGTTCGTAATACATTTAATTATTTATATGTAGCTATGTACACGTAATTAAATAGATTATTCTTATCTAACACACATGATACATTTATAATCTATAAGTTTGATAATGTGCTCTGTATGTGTTACCGTGGAAGACACGTGAATATTATATTATTTACTGTATAATAAAAAAATTTATTTATACACGTATTTAAGCATTTTTAGTTCATTTAAAAAAAAAATTTGTATTTTCCGTCAAAAAGAACTCATTTTGATTTTAAACACTTGCAGCATAACAAATTGCCTCTTCTATACATAATTATAAGTTAAGAACAAAATTAATTACAGGAAAGTTAGAGAGAAAATTTCTCAGGGGCCCGTACATATGAGCAAATAATATTTGAAAGAACTGCAATAAATAGACATTTAAGCAATATCATTATTTATAAGAACGACATTTAAGAGAAACAATAACATTTTAGATGCTATGAAGAGTTTGCCTCTTAATTTATGTGTGGTATGTGTAAACATTATAATAAAGACGTGCATTTTAACATAATCGTACATATTAATAGAGAAGTAAACACGCAAGTATAAATAAAATTATCTTAGAGGAAAATTAGAAAAAAAAAATTAAGAGTTATTAGCACTGTTAATTCCCAAAGTATGAATGTTGTGGTAATTTAATCCTTACACTTTTAATATTGACAAATTAATCTCTAAACTTTTTTTTATATAGTTTGGTCATTAACACTAAAATTTATGAAGGATTTCTGAAATTTCATGTAGATAATCACATTTTTGTTGCATAGTAACTAAATATTTCACGTAAATAGTTATAGTAAGTGTAAGATGTTATAGTTTTCAAGGTTTTAATAGTAACAAAGACAAATTCAAATATAATTTGACTGTTTCTATAAAATTTTAAGTTGTGACGCAATAAACATATGAGTATATTTGTTAAATTAAAAAACTTTATTTTCAAGGATCAAAACTGTAAAAAGACCAAAAAGTTTAGAAATTGATAAAACTAAAGTTTAGGAACTAAAATATCACCATCTCAAAATTTACAAACTAATTACAACACCAGTTACCCTAAAATTAATTAGGCAACACGTGAAAAATAATAGTTGAGAGGGTCAAGACATGTGCAAAACATTATCACCGAAAGAATATATTAGAGAATAGATCTTTATTAGAAAATAATAGTTGAAAAGGGTACACAAAAATACTATTATAAACAAGACAAGCTTGCGAAATTTTGTTTCAGTAGAAAAAAAAATTATAAGGATATATACTTTTGATATAATTATAAGGATTAGATGGAAACAAATTTCTAAGTGCAAAAGAAAATGTGAAATGTTTTTTTATATGAGTACACGAGAAAAAATATTTCATAAAAGTAAAACGGAAAAAAATTACCGCAAACGTGCTTTTAATATTATCGGTAATGCACCTTTTGAACGCTAATAATGGATCTAACACATTTTTCCCTCGTGAAAAGGTACTAAAAAGCTTGTTTTCTTTAATATGGACTAGGACCGAATATTTTTTAGATCTATAATTCTATATATCTATATGTTCTACTACCATATACATATGAAGCAGTTGCCTTTTATAATCTGTCATTCATCTTGTTAAATTACATAACGTTATCTTTCTCTTACTGTTTTTGCCTTGCACTTGTGGCAACATAAGTTTTCCGCTATTATTAACTCAACGTTCATATACTTAATCATTGATGGTTATAGAGATCATAGAAAGGATTTTAGACTTATTAGAGACAAACGCAGAGCATACTACTCAAGAGGAAAACTATTATGATATAAAAGAAGAAACTCAGAATTTTAAAAAAGAACAGTAATTTAAAAACTCATAAAGAAAAATAGTAATAGACGAGGATAAATAGTAATAGACGAGAAGAGTATCCATGATGTGTGTGGGTTTCCCCTCCTACTCTTCTTTCATCCTATCCCTCACATATAACAACCAACAAAAGACTCGTAAGAGTATGTTTTGAAATTTTCAATTACTTATCTTAACAAACATTATGACACTCAATGCAACAAAAGTATATTTCCTTTTTCGAGTGTTCTATCTTTTATTTTTGTGATCATATGACATATATCGATAATTATATTTAAATAGAATAAGGATATGCGTAATTTAATGATTGTTCTCATAAATATATTATGGTTACATATATGACCAGTACTTCTTGAAAATTATGGATTTCTAGAAGTAATTCCATATATGTCCAAATTAATTAACGAGATTCCACTTATCCGTTTTTGGGTCATATCTAGCTAGCTTAACTAATATCATCTATAATTTATTAAAACAATTGGCCACTAGTGGTTACATCAGTTCCTTCATTTTCTGATTGGCCAGTTTCGATAAGAATAAAATTGACCAAGCATCACTACTTGTTAATATCAAAACCGTGAAAGATACAGTATCATTTTAGCTAAACGAACAGTGCATTTGTAAAGGCCTATAAACGTAGTAATAACATGATTTTCCAAGTGAGATATTGGCATATATTCTCCCCTTTTTTTTTTTTTTTTTCCAAACATCTAGGCATCCATATGAGGAAATTGATAAACAATCAGTCATCGAAATGAGGAAATCGATCGAACAACAACATCGTTCCAATCAAAACAAACATGTTCCAACAACCGAGGAAATTAAGCAAATAGAAGCATCAAAACAAATCCTACATTATACACCAAATTAAGCCAAACAGTCATACTCCATCAAGATTCAAGAAACACAAATCTTAGCTCCAAAATAACAATTGATGCATGATCAATGTCATCATTGATATTTTTCAACACAAACGGCAAAAAATGCCCAAAATACGCTATGCAATCTAAACTTCTAGCTACATAGCTAGCTACCATATATATTATAAATAAACACCACAACATTACATATTAGCCCACCAAAATAGAAAAAAACAAGTGACACTAGAAATCACATTTATATATATCTAGATAACCTAGTTAGCTTACTTCCATTTCCATGCAATAATCTTCTTCTAATTTAACACTGAGAGAGGTATCATTGAGCTGATTGAGCCTCTACCACTTGAACTACTCATACTCCCATTACGATGATCATAATTATCATCATGATTATCAAAACCACTCAAGCTTGGCGTAACATGATTAATGTTATTATTATTATTATTGTTAGTAGTAGTATAATATTGTTGGGATGACGTCGTTGTTGGTTTCTTCCTCTTCTTCTTCTCATAAGCAATTCCTCTAGCCTTGGCTTGGGAGTCCCGGACCTCCCTAAGGTAGAGCCTGACGGCGCGTGCGCCAAAGGGATTGGTCTCGGGCTTACCGCCGTTCTCCTCGAAGGCTGCCCGGAGGCGGCCGATGAGGGCGTCGAGGCTGCCCCAAGCCTGCCGGAGCGGGCAGGGGCAGGGCGCCGGCGGCTGGGGCTTCCCGTAGAAGGGGCAGGTGTCGGAGTGAACCTTGGTTTTCCCGAACTGGTCGAGGTAACGGAGGAACTCCAGCACGTGGGCCCCACTACAGCGGGAGAGGGTCAGCGGGGGGCGGTGGTTCTTCAGGTACTGTCCGAATGTGTTCCAGTCGCGCCGCTTCTGCGACTCGTAACGGCTCAGCGACGGCGGCTGCTGCGGCGGCGGCGCCGGTGAGGGGGTGATGGAGAGGAGGGATTGGTGGTGGCCGTTGAAGATGGCGTCGGAACTGGCTGCTGAGCTGGCTATAGACGCGGCGGCGGCTGCGGCGGCGACGGCTGCGGACATATTGATCACTTTGGGTTTTTGGGTTTTTTGTTCTTTTCTTGTTTGTTTTAGTGGTGGGAAGTTTGTGTTGTGTGTGAGAAATTAGGTTAATTTTTTGTTGGAGAAGAAAGATTGAGGGTTTGTTTGTTCATGCAAAGGGTTATGGGGACATGGAGAAAAAAAACAAAGAAAGAAAGAAAAAAGATTGAAGAAGGAAATTAAAGTGAGAGATTAAAAAATAGAGAAAAAGAGAGGGAGAGATGGATATGGAAGAGAGGGAGGGAGGGATGAGAGAATATATAAAAAAGGGGGGGGAGAGAGAGAGAGAGAGAGAGAGAGAGAGAGAGAGAGAAGGAGACAAAGGAGGGACCCATGCAAAGAAAACCCACGTCGGGAGAGTGATGACAGTTTGAATATCACTTCATGATCGTCATGTCGCGTATTATATCATCATCAACTTTAAAACAGAAAATAGTAATAAAATAATAGTAACGCAGACCTTAATTTAACTCGGTAAAAAAGTCTCCCCATTTTGAATTATTTACGCGTGACTTTTGTTTTTTTTTTAAGGTTAATTTACGTGTGAATTGTTGATACAGTTCAGTTTAGCAAAGCATTCTCAATATTTAAAAATACTCCATGAAAAGGAACTTTCTATGGTAAGAATATTTACGGTGGTGCGTGTTTTCTAATAGATGCTCATGATAGGGATGGGATAGTTTAAAACATAATTCTATCAATAAGATATTTCTTAATTCCTATCATAGAATTCGATCGCTGTTTATCAACGCTGTATTGCACTTGTCTGATCATTATTTTATTATTTAGCAATATATATATATGTTAAATATATTATCATTTTACGAGGTTCAGTAATTGTTAAGAAATAGTAAAAAAATTCGTTATCCCAAATTTTACAACACGTGAATATGTTTTTAGTTCCCAAACGAAAAACATTACAGTCCTGCGTTTTAGACTTTAATTAGTTGCCATGTCGTATAATATTAGGCGGTATTTCCGGCAAAGGAGGAGGAAAAATAAAAAATAAAAATGATATATATATATTTATTTCCGTCGTAATAAAATCTCATCACTTATAAAATAATGAGACTCTTTTTATTTCACTAATTTGAGTCTAAAATTTAAGTTTTGTTACAGTAAAAAACTCTTAAAAACAGTCATATCTAATTTTTTATTACAGTAAAAAACTCTCACATAAAAATCACATCTTAACTCAAATTAAAAATTCAAATCAATGAACTAAACTATAAATCTCACTTACTTAACAAGACTCTTTTTAAGTGAGTGCCAAGATTTTAGAGTGGGTTTGGTAGATGAATCTAGAATCATGATTCTGGATCCTAGTTCAGAATCAGTGTTTGTTTACAGTGATTCTGAATCACGATTCAGAATCAGTGTTTGGTTTGGATGATTCTGAATTATTATTCAGAATTTGATGTGATGTTTTAAACTAGCTCAAATCATGATTCTAAAACCACCCTCACTCTTGATTCAAGGTGATTCAAATCTCTTATCTGAATCATGATTTCAGAATCATGATTTGAACTAAAAATCATGAATCATGGTTCTGGTTCTAAAATCATGATTAGAATTACCATAATTTGAATTCTCGTAGCAAACGAACCCTTATCTTATCAAGATAAATAAAAGAATTAAAAAATAATAAAGTTAAATAAAGTTATATTTAGGCCTTATAGCCCTGATCAGTACTTATGACGATCGATCTCTAGTACTGTAATGTTATATTTAATTACTTAGGCAAGAATATATATATATATATATATATATATATGTATATATGTGTGTGTGTGTGTGTGTGTGTGTCTGATATCTTAGGTTAAGCTTTTCCTAAATTTCTGTCTTTTTATCTCTCTCCTGATCTAACTTAGGAAATAGTCAAGTGAAATCCAAGAAGAAGAAACAGTACAAGTGAGAGTGACAAGGCTGGGGCAGCAAACAATAATGATCAAGATCACTAGCTAAGGACGTGAGTACTCGTAATTGGTAAAACCTTTGAAAAGCTTGGTGACCTAATTCTTGTGTGGCTGACATGCTCCCACAGATCATTACGTTTAGTCCCACTCAAAATAAGCATTTCAATTATACAAGGGACCCAATCACTGATTTCTTCTAGCAATGTAGTAAAATTAATTAAACTAGTAAATTAATCACCGATTTAACGTAATAATAATTTTACTAGACCTGAAAGGATGTGGACATTGAATTTTTAATAACCACATCGACAGGAAATAAGAGATATACAGAAATTGATTATATCGATATGGAGTCGATTAATTGTAAAGTTCTAACAATATATGGTCGTTGACTCGTTTAATTTATACGTTTCAATAAAAAGTTTAAACAGAATTAAAGTTTTGTTAAAAAAAACACGGTAACAAAAAGTTACTTTCGAATTATTGTGATTTAATTTACGAATTTAGTTATAATTAAAGAATTAGGGTCCGTTTAGTTTGTTGATTCGAGTTGAAATGTTTATGTGAGAACTTTTTACTGTAGTAAAAAAATTAAATGTAACTGTTTTTAAAATCTTTTTACTATAACAAAACTTGAATCATAAACTTGAATCGGTGATGAAATGAATAAGACCTTGCAATTCAAACATAAGCCCACATTAAACGGCTTATTAAATTAGTTAGACTACTAGGATTTCTGTTGAGAATTGTAAAGATTTATCTCATTGATGAAAGTGATTATTTACAACACATTAAGTACTAGCTGCTATAAGTTGCTAGTTCTAACGATTCTAACAAACTCTACACGTGTTATAATCTAATAATTTGTTAAAGCTAACCAATAACTAATAGCTAATATTTACAAAATTGATTTTTTGTTACATTAATCAGAAATATTAGTATATTACCATTCTTTACATAGTAAGAACATGGATCTTCACCCTAGTGTTTATTCATCAAAAGATATGCCCTACCTGAATCCTACCAAGAATGACATTTCCAAAAAAGCTGTGAAAATTTATTTATTTTATTTGAGTTTTTCATTTTAATTTTACTATAGTTAAAAGTTTTTATAAACAATCACATCTAATTTTTTATTATAATTAAAAATTTTCATTTAAAATCAAATATCAACTCAAATCGGCGAACTAAAAAAAAAACCTACTAATTAACTTCATTTAAACCATCCGCTCATATCAAATCATATATAAAATTAAAAAAACACGATAAATTAATAAAATTTCACCGATTTGAGTTTATAATTCGAATTTTGTTATAGTAAAAAGTTCTTAAAAATAATCACATTTAATTTTTTTGCTATAATAAAAAATTTTCACATAAAGTTATATCTTAACTCAAATAAAAAACTCAAATTAACAAACTAAACGGACGCTAAAAGAAAAACTTATGGTGTGTTTGGTAAGGAAATTCGTACATTAATTTGAATCATGATTCGCTACAATATTTTTTCTCATAAAAAATACACATAAATTAAAAATAATTATAATATCATGATACTAAACGTCTCCTTGTAATTCGAAAACATGTCCTACTCATCAGATATTTTTAATTAATATGTAGAACAGAATATAAACAGTCATAGAGCACCCTAAAAAACAGCAGTAAATGCGGGGCAAACTAACATGAAAAGAGTACACGGAACACAGGTTTGAAGGAGAAGAGTAAAATTGTGGTAATAATACTGTTCAAATGAAAAGACTTATTAATTTATTTTTCTATGCCTTGGCAATGAGCTGGTTTGGGTTAGCTAATCTAGCTAGGCAGGCAGCCAGAGCAATGTTACATCTTGTCAAAGATGTCAAATCCAACGGTCTTTTCATTACTTTTCTGTCCACTGGTTGAGATTTAATCAATCAGAGAAAAAAGGCCTGTTTTTATTCTTGCCAGATTTAGCATGCCCTTTGCACGTGCCTCCCCCCCAAATGCACTATTTCTATTTCTCAGCTAATTTACGTCTCCTCATTCGTTCATTTTTAGGCTGCTTGCTTCGGTTTTCTTTCTCTGTCCTTGAAAAAGAAGGAAAGATTGCTCATTGTTGAACAGTTCTGCTGACTTCCATGGTTTTGTTTTGTTTTGTTTTGTTTTGTTTTTATTCGTGATTACTTATGAACAACTGTAAGCGGGCTTGAATGATTATCTTCGTGAGAAACATGCACACACAACCGTGTAAATCTTACGAGATCTAGGTCTTTGACTTTGTTTATTTTAAGTTTCTTTTTCCACATGTGATCTTATATAAACTCTTGTCAAATTCAGATATATTCGTCTTCCCGTCAAGATTATATGTAATCTTGTGAAATCTTAGTGCTCGTTTAGTCAGCTGATTCGAATTTTTAATTTAAGTTAAGATGTGACTTTATATGAGAGTTTTTTACTGTAACAAAAAAGTTAGATGTGACTGTTTCTTAAAGCTTTTTACTGTAGTAAACTCAAATTTTAAACTCAAATCCGTGAAATGAACGGGGTTTTAAATTTGTTTATTTCAACAACTCAAACTGTTATTTAGAATTCAAACTTTAGTTTAAGATTTAAATTCGGGTTTAAGAGAACAAAATTTAAGGACAATTCAAATCATTAATAATAGTTCAAAGACAACTCAAATGGTTGATTTTAAAATTAAATCCTCCATAAATTCTAAGAATCCGAATTGTTATCAACAGTCTAACAGTTTCAGAGTCTACTTTTTTACGCTCTTCAATTTCAATCTTAAAAATGTCATGATTTATTCGTTTAAGTTCTGATTGAGATTATTTTTTTAAATGTGTTCATAATGAATAGATGAACAAATCTCCACCCATATTGCATATTTTTTAATGTCATTTATAATGAGATTTTACAAGATTTATTACGAAACTCTATTGACAGTTTTCAACACTTTATCCAAACATAATTCAAATTATAATTTATTTACATATCTAAACAGTAATTTATATCACAATTTAAATTATTATAATTCAAATTCTAACAATTTAAATTATTAAACCAAACAAGCTCTTACTATTTTCAGGGAGTACAATGATAATTTTTTAGAGTTAATTAATAACTGTTTTTTTATAAAAAAAGAAAAAAAGAAAAGAAAAACTTCTTTATATGATGGGACGTATTGGCACATACTACAAGTAATGCAACATTTATCCGCAAGGAGAAACTTTCCTTTCCTTCCTTTAAATAGATATGCTTGTCAGTTGCATCGTTAATGGTAATTGGCTGGGGAGGGAGAGAAGGGTGGAGGGAGTGTAACAATTCCTTATTGGTCGAAATGGAATTATGCAAGTAAAGGAATGTAACTATATATAACTATTCCCCATAAGCCTGGTAAATGGTCACGTACCCGTTTAATTTGTTAATTTAAAATTTTAATTTGAATTAAGATATAATTTTATATGAGAGTTTTTTTTATTGTAATACAAAATTAAATGTGAGTGTTTTGAAAAATTTTAAACTCGAATCGGTAAAATAACGAACTTATATACGTGGTCATCAATGTAGAATTTGTTTCACTAAATTGAACATTACGAATTCAGTCCCCACAAGATTCCAGTCCAGTATATTCCCAACACATTAATACCTTTAATTTAAGGCAATTACACCAATAATCAAATAAAAACAAATAATCTTTTGAAGGAACTAAAACCCATAATGAAATATTTGCAACAAACAGATATTCAAATTTTTTTTTTCTTTATCGATTGTATACTAGAACTTGATCCGGTGGACTCAACATGTAGAGAGCCAAGATTGGTGGGCAAAGTCTCATTACCCCAACTGATAATACTTGTTAGTTTCTAATCTTTACCGGTAAAACTAATCACTCTATCCTTCTCGATCAGTTTCTAATCTTTTAAGTACTTATTACTAAATTCAGCTTTAATTTACTATTTGTCATTACTTACTAAAGCGCATGTTTTGATTAATGACCCGTTTAGTTTGATGATTTGAATTTTTAATTTGAATTTGAGATATGACTTTACATGAAAATAATGTGATTATTTTTTAGAGTTTTTTACTGTAGTAAAACTAAAATTCTAAACTCGAATCGGTAAAATGAACGAGGTCTAACTTCTGTCCATTTGCTTATTTTTTATTTTTAAATTTATACTCTTTAATGTGTTTTTTTTTAGTTTTGTTTTCTAATTTGCATGATTTTCTCTAATATGCCACTATTTAAATATTTTTCATGGCGTCCTCTAAAATAATATTTGTTTTCTCATATCGTCATGATATATATATATTTTTCCTAATTGCCTCACTGAAATAATATTTTCTCAATCGTGTTCATCCTTACCCTTTAAAACAAATTTTCTCTACGATCCTTTCAAATACTATTTTCTCGTACATACCTCATAAATAATTTATTGTCTAATTTATTTCCAATGTTTTATGTTCCAAATATGTTATACCTCCCTATTTTGTTGAAATTAGACTCCTAATATACATACTAATAATCTATACATATTAATTAATAAGTTCAAAGTGAGCAGCACTTTCAACGAAAACGAGCGTTTTAATTGAAACTCGTTTTGGTCCCTCACTTTCCTCTCTTTTTTTTTTTTTTTTTTTTTTTTTTTTTGCTTTTCCCCTAAAATGTTATAGTTTTTTATTGTCCTTTTTCTCTCATTTACCCCTAATAAAATGTTTTTTCCAAATGTATCTCTAGAAAACATTATTTCCTGTAATGCTCCAAAATGTGTCTATAATTAAATATTTTTCTTGTAGACCTAAGTATTATTGTATCAATAGTAATCCTCACGAATGTTCTTTTCCCCTAATTTTCTCTTAAAATATCTCAAGTGCATCCTTAATCATTTTTTTCCCACACCCTTTCTTATTATGTTTTCATGTGTACCTCCAACTTAATTTTCTATTATATCTGCCCACCAAAATTCATTTTTTCCTCAAATATGTTGTACTTATTTATACATACATAATATTGAATTACCTTTTTATGGCAAGATGTATTTCATATCTAAATTCTAAGAGAATAATACATCAATAAAACAAACTACACATTTTGTTCAAAGAAGATTCACGACCACATATCTAAAAAAATTCAAATTTAATGCGCACTAGTGAAATAATAAATGGAAGATGAAGATTTTCAAGAAGAATTAAATACATTAATTGTGCACGTGCTATCTTAAAAAAAAAACTAACAAACAGTTACTATTTATAGAAAAAGGAGTATTTGCAAAGAATAATTAAAGTAACAAATATTATCACTGATAATTTTAGTTCATTCTCAATTTGCTCTTTAAATTTTAAAAACTCTCACTTTAACTTCTGAATTTTGAATTGTTTTCACTTAACTAATCTGTTACAATCTCTGTTAAAAATAGATAAAAAAAGAAAATAACGCAGTCACGGGATATTTCTGTTTAAATTTTTATAAAAAAAAGATAAAAACACATTACCACACTAATCTCTTTTTTTTGTTTGATTTTAATAAAAATTATAATAAAAAGAATTAAATGAGAATAATTTTAAATTTTAAAAGAATAAAATGAAAATTTTTAAAATTTAGACATTAAATTAAAAATAATTTTAAAATTTATGAAGCACCAGTCTGAATAATCTTAAAAGTAAAAGTAGAAAATAAAAATAAAACTCTAAAATATATTAGAGGACTGAGGCATAAGGAACCAAAAAAATAAAAAATAAAATAAAATAAAAAAATATTAATAAAACCTAGAGCGTTTTAGTGACTCTCGGCCACCGTCACCAGCCATTGTGAAGACCTTTTGTTCCCTCAGTCTCTCGGCCCTCCTTCCGACCGATTTCAAGCCACCTGTAAGACAAGCTCCTCCATGATTGCTTTTCTGTTTGTATTATTCTTTTTTGTTGGCATTTGGGATTTATTTTGTCGTGGAAAAACCAAGTCTTGTGTTTGAGGGGGAGATGTGAGAGCGTTTCTGTTATATAGTCGTTCATTGCTCTTTGCTTCTATTCTATGATAGTAGATTTTACAAATCTCAAAATGGGTTTCTTTGGAATGTAAATTCTTCTTTGCTCATTGGTTAATAATGGTTATTTGGGTTAATCATGTGTTTGTTATAATTTGCGAAATTGGTTTTCCTTGTGAAGAATGAAGATGAGATTGAGACATTGAGGAGTGGGAAAAACGGGCATATAATTAGTATTTAGGGAAACACCTGAAAACAGTAGATTCGTTCTGGTTACACCCGGGCTTGCGGTTGTTGACCATGAGAATGAAGAGAGCTGTGAAGAGAGCTGCAATTGTGTTTGTCATTTTTCTTTGTAGTTGTAAGAGTGGTTGATCGATTATTGAAGTTTTGTGCTGGAAATTTTTATGCGAATTTGGTTTATGGAATTCGTTTTTTGTGGAATTTGTTGTTGATGTTTTTGGAATTTTGTTTGATTGTTAAAAATTGTTGCGTTAATTAGTTTGTAATGTTTAGCTATTTGTGATTTTTTGTTGATTATTTTCCTATTTCTGTGAAATTGATATTAGTTTGAGTATTGAATGTTTGTTATAATTGGGTTGTGTGATTAGTTGGATATTGTTCGTAGTTTATATTTGTGAGATTCGTGAAATTAGTTTGATATTTGTTGGAAATTGGTGCTGATATCGGTATCTAATGGTTGGTGAGTTAGCACTCTTTAAGATTTCCTATCTTAGACAACAAAACTTAACAAGTATTGCTTGCTTTTAATTGAAATAAATGGGAAATTTTCTCATTGTCTTTTAATTTTGATTATTAATAATTCTGGTTTTATTGTATTCTCTCTGTCATCAGTGTGTATGGCCTACTCTGACTTCCTGACTTTGTTGTTTGCGGTTGGCGTTTGGTGTACTGCTTACATTGCTGCTGCAGTTATTGAATCTCTTCGAATCTTCAACTCTCTCTGCCTGTTTTGACTTGGTTAGTGAAGTTCCTTGAAAGGATACCATGGGCTATGCTCAACTCGTGATTGGCCCTGCGGGCAGTGGAAAGGTGATTGACCGCGTGAAACTACTATCTAATGTTTTCATTAAACATTTTCCTGGTCTAATATTTCTGAATTTCTTAGGTGACTGATTGGTCATTTCTTTCCTGATATTATACACGATACGATATAGTTGATTCATTCATTATTGTAATCAACTGACTTACTGTTTGTTTGTTATTGTAATCAGTCGACTTACTGTTCTAGTCTTTACAAACATTGTGAAGCTGTTGGGAGGACAATACATATCGTGAACCTTGATCCCGCAGCAGAAAATTTTGATTACCCTGTGGCCATAGGTAAGTACGCCTATTGTTTACTTTCATTGTAGGTTTACTAAGTAATCGGATTTTTTTTTTCTTTTTTACTGTGAATGGTAGATTTACTTGTTTTAGTACTGAAGGAGTTAATTGTTTGCTTGCAGATATTCGGGAGCTTATTTCCTTGGAGGATGTGATGGAGGAACTTGGTCTAGGTCCCAATGGTGGTCTTGTATACTGCATGGAGTATCCTCATTTTACGCGTTGTGGAATATTTTGCTCCCTTATATTTCGGTGTAATGCTTTCTTTGTGATTGTTGTTTAAGTATTCAAAGTGGTGGGGCCCTTAACCTTTATGCTTAGACATCTGGAAAATAATTTGGATGATTGGTTGACAGAAGAACTGGATAATTACTTGGATGATGACTACATCGTTTTCGACTGTCCAGGTATCCATAATGGTCTTAATCCTGCTAAGCAATTCTTTATGTAAATCAATTAAAGTTGAGGTATACATAATCGCCTAATTCTACTGAGTGTTTCTCTATGTATATAATTACTGTCAATCGATGGTCCTATCAACAATTGTTGATACGTTTCAACTATAAGATTTTTTAGCTGCTTGGTGTAGGATGGGAGGACTAAAGAAAGGAAAACAAAAAAGATATCATGTTTCAATTTTATTTGTATATGTGGAATCTTATACTTTTATTTGTATATGTAGAATCTTATACCACTTCTTTAGTATTTGTTTCTTTAGGTTGAAATTATGTCAATCTTTGCATAACTTGTAGGCCAGATTGAACTTTTTTCGCATGTCCCAGTGCTTCGGAACTTTGTGGAGCATCTAAAAAGTAAAAACTTCAATGTTTGTGCAGTATATTTGCTTGATTCACAGGTAATTTTTTGTTTCTTTTCTTGGTGGGTTAATTTAACATATAACCCCTGATAGGACAACGCCACAACCTAATTTTAAATACCTCTCTTTAGGCTTTGCGTCTGGAACTTCTATCCTGCACTCTTTTCCATACCACTCTGAGCCAACAATTTGGGGAATATACCCCCTAAAATGATTATATATTACGTTCTTTGACATCAAAACTGAAAAATCTGTTAGGTTTCCTTCAGAGGATTTTAATTAAGAATACCCTTATTCTTAAATCTCCTAAGTGCTCTGCACTTACCAAAATGAGCTAATAGCTATTTTGAAACAAACAATAGCTAAATTATGCGGGGTTATAATTTTTATATATATTTTACCTTCATTTGGTTTAACCACGGGCCGTATAAGTAGCAGAAGCAACATACTAATTGGGTTATTTGGGCTGTATCTTTCTTCCCTTTGCATCATCTCCCATTTCCCGTCTTGGTTGACCTGTTATGCTTTGTTTATTCATGCTGATGGTTATTATTTTCGATCGTATCAGTTTATGACAGATGTCACTAAGTTTATCAGTGGGTGCATGGCATCTCTTTCTGCAATGGTCCAGCTTGAGCTGCCCCATGTCAATATCCTCTCCAAAATGGACCTTGTCTCGAACAAAAGGGATATTGAAGAGTAACGCCATAACCTATTTTCAGTCTCTTGCTTTCTCCTGATTTTTCAAGCAAATTGGTGTAATAATCTGTTTGTTGTGCTAATTGCTCCTAGTTTTTTGAATCCCGAGCCGCAAGCTTTGCTGTCAGAACTAAATCAACGAATGGCCCCTCAATTTGCAAAGCTAAATAAATCTTTGATTGAACTGGTGAGTGGATGGATTTGATATGATTGAGTGCCAAAGTTTAGGTTAATGATATCAAAACTTTTATTTTTATGTCTCAGAAGAATTGTACCCAAATTTGTTTCCAACACGAGTAGCTAATTCATTATTTTCGGGGTGGTTTTCAATTTATGTGATGCAAGGGCCTTTTCTTTCACGTCTTGGATGCCCTTAGGAAGCTAGATTTTTATGTCCATGTTTAAATAATGAAGCCCTTTTATTGATGTGTGACTTTAAATTCGGCCCAACCTTTGGCATTGTTTGGTCATGCAATGACATTGTATTTCAGGTTTTGTTGATGTGTATTACTATCCTGAACTTTTTGTGATGATAGGTTGATGACTATAGCATGGTGAGTTTTCTTCCACTTGACTTGAGGAAGGAGAGCAGGTATGTTCTCGCTCTCGACATTTAGTCCCTTTATTTCTCGTCATTAACATTTTCTTTATGGCCATTTTACTTTTGTTCTATGAAGCATTAATTTTGAGTTTCGATTCAAGAGATATTATTGACCTTTTAAAAAAAAAAAAAAAATCATTTGTATAAGTTATAACCATCATTAATGTATTGCTAACTTATAATCATCAATCTTTCGCTTTTATCTACGAAGATGGTGCCTTACGTGTTACTCGTCCATCCTTTTATAATTTGTATTTCAGCTTTATTACTTTGTTAGTCTTATTCTTTTGGAGTATGTTTACTTACTTGAAAATAAATGTAATGGGAAAGCGAAAGGTGTTGGAGAGGAGAGACAATAAATAATAAAGGGTATCGATGATCCCTCAGTTTTTATTTACTTAGAAGTAGAATTGGAAAGAATTCAATTTCCTTGGGGAGATGAAATAATAAGGGAATCAACGATCCCACATTGTTTATTTAGTTAAGTAGAATTGGAAAGAATTCAATTTCCCTTGTAGTGTTTACTAACTTCAGATATAAGAACAAGAATAATAATAGCTAAAGTATCAAAATGTCCTTGTGGACATAATTATAGTTAAAATTTAGTATAGTCAATTTTGGGGTTTATTCTGATTGAAAGGAAACCATCCATCCGACGTGGTACCTTAGGATTGGCCAAGGCCTTTTCTTTTCTCATTCCGTACATGTAGAACTAGAACCCACTAAGTTATCATTCCTCATATTGCAAGTAAAAAATAAACACGGGAATAGGTGGGAATTTGGAGAGGGAAACATTTTTATCCATTTCCCCTTCCTATTCATTACAAGTAAAACATTGCCCTTGGAAGTGTGCTTTTATTATCTTCGGGCGTAATGATACAACTAGAGCTTAACGTTTGCTTATTGTCGTTTGCAGTATACGATACGTGTTGGCTCAAATTGACACGGCCATACAATTTGGAGAAGATGCGGATGTGAAGGTCAAGGACTTCGATCCAGAGGATGATGACTAGACCCGTTTGTTTCTTTTAACTGTTTGAGATTTGAGGTATGTCATGTTGCAGGCATTTGGTGTTGCACTTTGCATGAAGTAGAAATGATGAATCATGCAAGTAAGTTTTACCATGTGTATGATAAAAACAAAACTTTGGCAACAAATATCTTGCAACAATGAGCTGAGTTGATGACGTCTGAGTTTTGTGAAAATGGGATTTTTCAGATTTTATAAATGAGATGAAAATTGGCTGTTATTGTAGTGGAAATGTTCGAGGGGAATCTAGCGAGTTAAATAAACTCTATGTCAAAGAAATAACTTTAAAAGTTGCCATTACTAGCGGTGGCTAAATTCCGCTTAAAGTAATTCAAATTTCTTAAGCGTGTGTGAAAATTTTGTAAAATTAAGCCGTTTAGTTCATGGATTAGAATCATTATTTATTTACGTGTGTTTTTTGTGAGAGAAAATACTATAGCGAATCATGAACTATGATTCGAATCAGAGAATGAATCCTCTAACGGTTGACAAAGGCGCACATGTAAAAGTTGTAATGGAATAGTTATGAGATTCCAACTTAAACGTGTTGCTTTCATGCTTATTTATTGCAACCCGTGCGCAGTAAAATGTAACAGCAATTCAATCTACCGCAAAATATTAAGTGCGTTTAGAACTCGTTTTAAAATAATTTAATTTTTTTGTATGAAAATAAAAATGAAAACGTTTTTAATCTTAGACAGAAATCATTTTTAAAAATGTGTTTGGTAGTTTTATCAAAAGATTATTTTCAATGTAAGAAAACTTATTAATGTCTCTCTTTCTCTCTCTCTGGTCTCTGATCGAGAGAGGAGAAAATAAAAATTAAAAATGAAAAACAATTAAAAGTCATTTTTTATTTTTCTCTCATTTTACACTAAATTAAAAAATTATTTTTATTTTCATTTTTTGTCTCTACGACCTTAAAGTCCTCTCTCAATGAGATAACGCATGGTCTAAGGTTCAAGCCCCAAAGTCTTTGGATGTCCAAGCGAATGGCGCGAAAACGCACGTCACCTTGATCCAGTGTGCTATCCCACCGCCCACTCTCCATCATCATCGTTTATAGAAGAAAACAACTGCTTTGTGCTCTTTTTATGAATGTAGTGAATAACATATTTGTGAAATTAAATTAAGTAAATAGTAAGTTTTTAAATTATTTAAAGTAACAGTTTATTGCATAAATATATCATTTATGACTAGCAAAAAGATTTTTTCCACGTAAACTTTTTACAATTGTTAAAAGATTTTTTTCCACATAAATGAAGATTTTTTACTAGTCATAAATGATACATTTACATGATAAACAACTATTTATTTTAAATAATTTTTAAACCTACTATTTACTTAATTTAGTTTTAAAAAATCTGCTATTTACTACAATTTCTCTTTTTTTCCCCTCTTATCTTTATTTTTACCCTTTGAGTTACTTGTTCCGCTAAATAAATTGTGTTACCAATGTCCTTCACATTATTTTTTTCTTGTGTAAGCGCTCAAAAAAATAAAAATAAAAACAAGGCGGATCTCAATGTCAAAGAGGCTCCCGTATTATGACAGGCTCGTGGGAAAGCTCAATTCTCATATGTACGCGGCCTTACCCCCCGTAGAAGAGGCCGTTTCTGAGATTCGAACCTTGGACTCTGGGTGCAAACACAAGCACTCCCACCACGATGCCAATGCCCGCCTTAAAAAATAATAATAATAATAAAAAAAAGGAGAGCAAAGCAAAGCAAAGCAAAACAAAGGAAACAAGAGACAGCGAAGAAATGAAACTTGAGCTCCAAATGCGCAATGTAGGTTCCCTATACATTGACAAGCTGTCACAAACATACCTCTTCACATCAAGTTCTCTCTCTCTTTTTACATTGCCAAGCTATCACAAACATGCTTCATATCAAGTTCTTTTTCTTAACAACCAAGTCTTTTTTTTAACAAGTCCTTTTTGTCTTTTTTACACGTCGCTCTGAGACAACTCTCGTATGAACGATCCAAAATTGTTGCTTTTTCTTGCGCCAAACATTTTTGAACACCCAAGAAATCTAGGGTCCTCAATCCAAAACCATGGTCCGAGACCAAACATGGTATGAGATGTGTAAATTTTCTAGTATAAAGGTTACTGAGATAGTAGACCATGAAGTACCAAGCCTTTACTTCTTGTTAAGCAGATGTGCAAGATTGCGAAGTTCCTCAAATGCGTGCATTGTTTCTGCATCAAATCCTCCCGCAAACTGCAAGAACCAAGAGATAGGTTTCAATACTTTACATAGTAAGAAAAACCAAGTCCTCTACTTGTAGATATGTGGAACTAAATAAAGTATATGGCCATAATTTATCATGTACTAGATGATAGACAAATTAATCTAGATCATTGAATTTAAGTTACTTTTATTGAGTAGGGCCCAATAACAGAAAAATCCAACAGTCTGGATCCCTATAGACCATCATCTAACACCTGAAAAAGCGTTGCATGGTACAGCTAAATTTAACAGGCAATATATGGATAGGAACTCTTACTTGCTATAACCTACCAAATACAAAAAATAACTTGGCATCTTTTTTTATGAAACAGTCAACTTTTTTCTGGCATGTGATGTGTATAAGAATTCAAATGGACCAAGAAAAATGTTATTGGTATTATGCCACAAACCTGGTGTATTCTGAAAGCAAATCTCACTCCCTGAAGTAGCATGTAGTCCATTGCAGGATCTTTTTCAATTGCTGCTTTTGACTGAAGTTCCATAGCTACCCTCTTCATGTACATCTTTGCCAACTTGACAGAGCCAAACTTTATCTGCTACAAAGTGTCTAAATCAAATGCTATGGCCAAATTTCAATAATATGAATATGTTGATTTCTGTAACTACAATCTCTTTATTCTTGTTATAGAAACCTAATACGATTATTCTGAAATTTCTTGGAGCCTAAAACTTAACAACTGTATTCCTTGAAGAAACTTTTAGTCTTCTAAATGTAAGTGTAAAAGTCATACCTTGCTTATAATTCCATTGTCAAGCATCCAATCTGTGGGAATTTGGAATTCTTTGCAGTTACGCATCAAAGACTCTCTTGTTCGAAGAAGGTTATAGACAGTACGCTCCATCCTGCTTGCGGTACACAAAAACTGTTAAATCTTTGCAACTAGCAAATATTGGAATACCATAAGAAAAAATAAAAAAATGGTTGAGAAAAATAAATAATGATAAAATTTCTTAAGGTCCTTCCTCAGACAATAATTTAAAAGACTAAAGTAAGACACAAGCCATAGTTTAGGGGGGGATTTTTAAAAACAAATAACTCAAGCTAGTGTTCAATTCCATCAAATTTTTTGATAGAATTGAAAAGAAGGGGATTTTTTTTTGTAACTGTTTAAAAGTTCGAGGGTGTAGTTGTAACATTTTAAAGTTTGGGGTGGGGGGTGGGGTTGTGATTTAAACTGAGACACATGCCATAGTTGTGGGGGAGTTTTAAAATTAATCCAAAAATAAATGATGAAGAAGTTATCAAGGTCCTTACTTCTCAGACAATGCCACCATTTTCTTTAATGCAATATCGCAAGGCAATCGGAGATCATCCTTGTAAGAGGAGACTTCAGACTCCAATCTCTTGATATCTTTATATCCAAATGCTGCTTCTCTCAATGTGTCAGCTTTCCTTTCTGGCCAGTCGAAGTGCTTTAAAACTGCCCTCTCGTCCACCTTTTCAAAAATGGAAGCATAATAAGAAAGAAGTAATCAATCAAAAGATCGGCTATATGCTTAAATTTGAAGTTTTTGGTCAAAGGAGGGAAAACTTTATTATGATTAATAACAACAGATGTAACAAAACCTTTCCATACAAATCCTTTATGACAGTCATTTGCTTGGTTATGGATTTGTCATTCTAGTGGCTTGAAAAGGAATTCATCTTTGTGAATCATGAATTATCAAGAAAATTTCTTCAAATTATTTCACAAAGAAAGTTAATGGGGGAGTCAAAATAGGATATGTTGTGAGACAGATATTAACTTACAAGAAAGCAAAGTTCATCGTCTAGCCACTTGACAAATGCCACAACATCTTCAATGTTCTGGTAGACTGCATCATTCACCTCTCTTATCAACGAATTCACAAATTCTCCTTGTGTCTCAACATCTGCCTTTATCTACAGAAGAAATGATAGATACAAATGAATTTTCTAACTTTTATTGAAAACATAACTTATAATGGACAGAAGTAACATGAAATAAGAGAGCACTTACTGCTAGCAGATGTGAGGATCGGTTTTCAATTTCTCCAATCATGCTGCTACGAACATTTGCAACATCCGGGGCATCACAGATCCCTCCATTTGAAGAATCCTTCCTTGAATCTCTCTTCATGAGCGAATGATAAAACTCGACTACTTGAGGAGCTCGCTGAAAGGTTCCTGAGGTATTCCGTGCTGCAAACTTTGGTGGAGGTGGTGGGGGAGGCGGAGGAGGTGGTGGCGGGAGAATTTGTGCCGAACCTTCCTCTTTGGTTCCACTAGAAACTGAGCGGTAAGGCCTTGGAGGAGGATTCGGAATACGCAAAGCCCTTTTCTCAACATCCATGGAAGTTGAAAATTTAACTGATTCATGGCAGCTTCCATACAACTGGGATCTATGACCTATTTCCAAGTCAAATTTCTGAGAAGCTAATGGTTCTGCTTCCTTTTCCGTTTCTCTTGAAAGCATAAAACCATCAGATTGCCTTCTCTTATCAGGCATCAATTCCTCTGTACTACATTTGGATCCACTTATTGAGTGCCTTCTCCTCGGGCTTATTCTTTCCTCTTCATCAACCCAATTCTTGTCCAGCAAACTATGATCTGAGCATTCTAAGTTTGACAAATCCTCATCAGTTAAAGGCCATTTTTTTAACTTCTTTATCAGGTTCACTCTCTTTGTGCTACTATATTCCAAGTACTCATTGCTTTGACAAGACAGTGAACCAAAAGATGATTCAGCACTCCTTTCTACTGAACTCGGGCTTGTCGGCGTCTTAATAGAATTTGTAGTCGAGCACGAATTTTTCAGCTCATTTCGTAAACACGAATTCACCCACCTAAGATAGGCTAGCTCCTCAACCTCATTCAGTCTGCTCATCTGTAAACCTTCAACTTGCTTACACAAATCTTCATTTGTGTGTCTTAGCAAAGATGCCTCAGCCTTGATCTTAGCAACAATGTCACTCTGATAGAGAGAGAGAAGAAAAAAAAAGATAGATTATAGTATGGTAATAGAGTTATAACCAAAGCAACCAAGTTGAGGCATACACATTATGATTCATTATTTCATTTTTCAATAGTACAACAGCAAATAAAGTACGCCAAAGCAATAAGCAGTGAAGCCAGATAATTTTGATAATTTAAATTTTCCCATTGAAATTTTCTAAAATTCCAGTTCTGCCACATTTTAGAAAACAAATTATAACTGTGTCCTAAATTAGTAATTGGAACACCTAAATTAGTAATTGGAACATATAACTATGTGTCCCTTTCTAGCTCCGACACTAAAAGCAAGCAAGTTCAACGGTTCAGGCATAGATATAACAAACAATTACATTTCATGTAAAATTTCTGAGAAAACAAAAACCGTATGAAAATGGCTGATAATATTTAAATAAAAGTACCTCAGACGCCTTTGCCAAAGAAGCTAACTGTGACTCAACAGAGGCAAGCCTACAAGCAAGGTTCCTCTTCTGAAGTTGCAACTCCTTATTCAGCCTCCTCAGCTCCACAACCTCCATTTCCAGATTTTGTGACACCACTGAGCTCTCACTCTCTTCACTCCTTTCCCTCTCCGAACCCGACAATTGCTCGGAAAGGCTCGCCTTTTCTTCCTCCAGCAACTCAAGTCTCCTCTTAAGCCCGTCAACTTCGCTCCTCTTCACCTCGACTTCAGTCTCCAGCTCCAAAACTCTCGGATTCCTCTTCCACTCCGACAACTCGGCCTGCAATTTGAACTCTCTCTCCTTCGATTCTTGCAGCAAGCTTCTGAGGTGATCGAGCTCGGTGAACAAGTCCCGTGACGACTGTCTCCGGTGAGCAGTCTGAAACGCCGTCATCGACTGGGGATGGACTTGGGTGGCGTTGACGGAGCAAGCCAAGTCGCCAATGAGCGATCTTTTGGCTCTAGAATGAGAATGCGCAAGTGGGTTCTTCTGATTACTCGCCGTATCCGAGGTGGCCATTGATGCCAACGGCTGTTTCTTCAACTGGGCTTTGGTTTTCGACTTCTCTCCGGCCAAGTTCTTCACGATCTGAGAACCCCACCTCAGCTTCGACGAGTTGGTCGTGTTGAGTTTGGGGTTCTGACATTTGGGTGGCTGGTTTTGGTCGCTGAATTTGGAGGATTTCGGTCTGGTTTCTGGTGGGTTTTCTTCTCTCATTTTGTGGATTGTTGGAGAAAAGAAAAAAAACTGGAGATTGAAGATTTATGGAGAGTTTAAAGTGGAGATCTTTTGTTGTTGTTGAAATGGAAGTAGTGAAAACTCTAATTCCGAGAAAGGTGGCAGCTCCTGTCCTCTTTAATGCAGAATGCAGAATGCAGGGCGTCTTTGAAAATTTGAAATTTGAATGTGGGGGCTTTAGGATTGCGACCGTGCGAAGCTTTAACGGTCGTTTTTTGTGCCGGGGGTCCCACATTTGGGATTCCAACCTTGTGTTTATGTGCCTTATAAAAAGAAAGGGCAATTATCAAAAAAGGGGAAAAAAAAATGTGCCTTTTAGGGCTTAAACGGCTACTTATATACTAGTTGAGATGAGATAACAGAAACCAAAAAATTAATTCGCATGACATTTCCTTTTTTTTTCACAACTCAAATTTTCTGTTACAATATTTTTCTCATAAAACTTAAATTTAATTTTTTTACTATAATATTTTTTCTCACATAAATTTACTTTTTAACTCAAATTGTAAAAAGAAATAATACTTAAATATTATATTTATTATAAGTATTTTTTAAAAAAAATTGGGATAATATATTTCAAATTAAAGGAAATAATACAAACACCAATTTTGATCAAATGACCACAAACTGCATGAAAACCACAACCCCAATAAATAATTGAGTCCACCAGTAACTACACTCTGGGGAAAGAAGCATATATCGAATTCTAAGAGCATATTGGTGGGGAAAATCTCGCGCAAGTATACATGTTGCTTCAAGTAATAAAGTGCGTGAGTAGATTGTCGATCCAATGAGAATTCTGTTAATTTAGATTATGAACCAAAATGATTAATTCTATAGATTATTTGAACGGTCGATAAAAATGAGAATAATTAAAGGCTTGTTTGGTAAGTGGTTCAAACCTTGGTGGTTTGAAACTTTTGCATTTGAACAATGTGTGAGATTCTATGGGGTTTGAACCTTTATTTAAATGCATGTAAATGGACTGGAACTATACGAGTAGGGGTGGCAATTCGGGTTGCCGGGTCGTGTTCGTGTCGTGTTAACCTCTTCAGTTGACACGAATAGGTCTAACACGAACACGACCCGTTTATTAATCGTGTCGAAATACAAAACCCAAACACGACCCGTTTATTGACGGATTGACACGACACGAATAACCCGTTTATTAAATAGGTCATAAACGTGTCGTGTCAACCCATTGATTACCTGTCAACCCGTTTATAAAATGGGTGATAAATTGGTTGTGTTAACCTATTTATGAACCTGTTTATAAAATAGGTGATAAATGGGTCGTGTTAACATATTTCTGAACCTATTTTTTGAACCTGTTTATAAAATGGGTAATAAACGGGTTGTGTATTCGTATTATCTAAATATGACACATTTAATAAATAGGTTATGGCGGGTCAATTGCGGGTTGGCGGGTCAACCTGAAAATGACACATTATTTAATTACGTTTCACGGGTTCGACCTGATTTTGACCCGTACCTATTTATGATAAACCCAAACCCGTTAATTTCGTGCAGGTTTCAAGTCGTGTCGTCGTGTTGCTACCCTAATTGACAGTCCTATATACGGGTTCAAATGGGCAAAATTTAGGCAGGAGGCATGTTCTCATTTTTAGGATTAAGGTGGGTTCAAAAGTCCTATATGGGTCTTAACCTAAATTTATATTTTGAAGTTCTAAACAAAAGTTCTATTGAGCCCGTGAGTTTAAACCTATAGAATTCCCTACCAAACAGGGTCTAAGGAAAATAAATTAAAATGAACAAACAATAAAAATTACGTACTAGATATTGCAATTTACAAAACTAATCTTAAATGAAATTCTTAGAATAATTAAGTATGTTTCTCATTATTGATAACCGAGTCTCTTTAACCTATTTGTCAATCTCTCCTTAACACTAAAAAAATTATCTCAATAAGCATATTTCCTAAAATTATCCCAACAAGCAGACTTCCTACATCCCTATTAAAATCCTCAACCTTTCAAAATTCATTGCAAACAAAGAAACTCGAAATAGACTACACAAGTTTATAGATATCTCTATCCTACAAGTACTCATGGCATTTCAATCATAAACTAAATCAATCATCACTTCTCAATCTCTAATTAATTCTCAAATCATACAAATATTGGCCAAATATTCACAAGCAGTAAATAAAGAATAAAATACTCAACAAAATGAAAATAAATCACAAATTAATTTAAAATAGTAAAATCACATATTCATAGCAAAGATAAATCAAAGCCCTAGAACAAAACAAACTATTCCATTAACAAAACTAAAGAAATAGAAGGTTCAACCGTATTCGGAGCATTCATAAAATAAAAAAAATATAAAGAAATAGAAAATTAAAGAAGAAAGACCAATTTGGAGCCCTTCTCCCAACTCTTCTTCTCCTATATCGGATGTGTTTGGAAGAGATTTTTTTGTGAAACGTTTTTGCATTTGAGGCACGAAAATGAAAACGGTATTCAAATCGTGTTTGTTTAGCAAATATTTTGAAAACGAAAACGAAAACAAAAAACAATGAGAATAGTTTTTGTAAAAGAATTAGAAAACGGTTAAAACTTATTTTTCCTTTTATGTTTTCATTTCCTAGTACTTGTCAACAATGTTATAATATATTAATTAATAATTACAACCAAACACAATTTTCATTTTTTTATTATATTCAAAACAATTTCTTAAAAACCAACTATACATAATTTTAGAATCGGTCTTATAATAATTTTCAAATCAATCTTTTTTTTTACTTTTGTATTGAAAACTAAGGGTTTGTTCGGTTGCATTTTTGAGTTATGGTGACTTGAGTGTAGATCTTGAGTTGAATTTGAGTTATAATTTGAGTTAAAGTTGTAACTTGTGTTTGTGTTTGAATATGCACATTTGAGTTATCATTTAAATTGAGAATCTATTTGAGTTTGTGTTTGAGTAGGTCAAAACTTGAATTTGTATTTAGATAGTATTTTAATAAAAATTCAATGGTGATGAAAAATTTTAATAGGGTACATAGGTGGAATTTTATTCGCCTCTTCGTTGTGAACGTATAAAAAAGAAAATGTTATCAATCTTATTATAGAATCGGTCTTATAATAATTTTCAAATCAATCTTATTTTTACTTTTGTATTGAAAACTAAGGGTTTGTTCGGTTGCATTTTTGAGTTATGGTGACTTGAGTGTAGATCTTGAGTTGAATTTGAGTTATAATTTGAGTTGAAGTTGTAACTTGAGTTTGTGTTTGAATATGCACATTTGAGGTATGATTTGAATTGAGAATCTATTTGAGTTTGTGTTTGAGTAAGTCAAAACTTGAATTTGTATTTAAATAGTATTTTAATAAAAATTCAATGGTGATGAAAAATTTTAATAGGGTACATGGGTGGAATTTTATTCGTCTCTTCGTTGTGAACGTATAGAAAAGAAAATGTTATCAATCGAATTAAGACAAAAAAAATTATGAAGTTTTTAAGAATAGAAAGAATACTGTTCATTAACTTGAGTTTGAGTTTAAGAACTTGAGTTGAAAGAGAAACTTGAACTCAGATTTTAACCTCAAACTTGAGTTAAAACTCGAGTTAAAACTCAAGTCCAAACTTAAATTTTACAAACGAACATGAAGTTAAATAAAGTTGTAATTTGAGTTAATTTTTTTTTTTTTAGTTTTATTTTAAAAGAACAAGCCTTAAATCATTTTGAAAATGTTACTAAATGGGTAAACCTAAATTAAAACTCTCAAAATAAAAGAAAATTTTTTTTGTTTATTTTTTCCTCTCCTAAATTTAACTTGAAAAAGACTTGCTGATGAAAGGAATGGAGTTTCATTCGGCCCTTAGTTTAAATAGCGGTTGGTGTAAGTTTTAGAGTTTGTTTAAGCCCCGTTCATTTCGCTAATTCGAGTTTAGAATTCGAGTTTTGCTACAGTAAAAAGCTCTCACAAACAATCACATATAACTTTTTTGCTACAGTAAAAATCTCTCACATAAAATCACATCTCAACTCGAATTAAAAACTCGAATCAACAAACTAAACGGGTTTACTAATTTGAGTTTTTAATTTGAATTAAAAAATAATTTTATATGAAAATTTTTTACTCTTATAAAAAATTTAAATGTAATTATTTTTAAGAATTTTTTATGTAACAAAATTTGAGTTTTAAATTTAAATAAGTGAAATGAATTGTAAATTCGTCTTGGATTCACGCGCCAATCAGAATTGAGAGGCCTTTAGAGCTGCCTGACATCATTGACACGTGGCTGAGTGTTATTGGGTGTAGTTTGATGCGACGGCTTGGCATAATGCATTAATCCAAGTGCACGGGTTCATGGGAAAGTTCTGGGACATACCGCACAGGACATTAGCCACATCTGGTCTGGAGCGCTGACGCAATGGACGCGTGTCGACGGCTTTTAGGGTGTGACTTGAATGTAATTTTTGAGTTAAATTTGAGTGAGTTAAAGTTGTAATTTAAATAAAGTTGAGTAAAGTTAAATAAAGTTGAAATTTAAAAGAATATGAACTTGAATAAAGTTGTAATTTGAGTTTAAACTTTTTCTGAATTTTTATTGCAAAAGAATAATCCCTTAGGGGTTGTTCTTTTGGAGTATGACTTGAATGTAATTTTTGAGTTGAATTTGAGTTATAACTTCAGTTGAAGTTGTAACTTGAATAAAATTGAGTGAAGTTAAATAAAGTTGGAACCTAAAATAATGTTGGGTCCGTTTAGTTCATTGATTCGAGTTCTTAATTCGAGTTGAGATGTGACTTTATGTGAGAGCTTTTTACTGTAGCAAAAAAGTTAAATGTGATTGTTTGTGAGAGCTTTTTACTATAGCAAAACTCAAATTCTAAACTCGAATCAGCAAAATAAACGGGGCTACGTGAACTTAAATAAAGTTGTAACTTGAGTTTAAATTTTTTCTGAATTTTGTTACTAAAGAATAACCCCTTAGTTTTTTTATTTGAGTTTTTAACTTGAATTTATATGTGATTTTTTATAAAAATTTTTTGTTATAATAAAAAAATTAAATATAATTTTTTAAAATTTTTTTTTATAATAATAAAATTTAAATCGGATAAATAGAGTCTAAATAGATAATAAAAATAGCATGACATGATGTTTGATTTAATATATTTTTATTAGCAGAATAGGTGTCTTTCTATAGTAAGGACTAAGGAGCTCATACTGATACAAACATGGTGCTGAATGTTAAATTCGGTCGAATAGGGTGCAATTTGTAATGTTTTAAAATTTTAAGATCAAAATGAGAGAATGTATTACAAGATTTCCCAAAATGAAAAAATTGGCAAATTTTATGTCCACGTCGAAGTAAATACCGGTTTTTTTCGTTCGTTTCACGTACTAGAATTTTCAATTTAAGATGAGATGTGATATTTTTTAAAATTTTTAACTGTAATAGAAAAAGTTAGATCTAATATTTTCTGAGAGTTTTTAACTGTAAAAATATAAAATTAAAAATTTAAATTGATGAAATGAATGATATCTCTTAGCTTGTTTATTTTACCGATTTGAGTTTTCATTCCACCGATTCGAGTTTAGAATTCAAGTTTTGTTACAAAAGCAGTTACATTTAACTTTTTTATTACAGTAAAAAGCTTTTAGGAATAGTTACATCTAATTTTTTTACTACATAAAAAGCTCTCAGAAACAGTTATATCTAACTTTTTTATTACAGTAAAAAACTCTCACGTAAAATCACATATTGACTCGAATTAAAAACTCTAATCAGTAAATAAAATTGACTCTAAAATTTTTAAAAATAATCACATTTAACTTTTTTACTATAACAAAAAATTCTCAAATAAAATCATATATAACCCGAATTAAAAATTTTAATCAGAATTAATCGGAACTACTGCTCTCGTTCTCTCATTCTCTCATTTTTCGCTGCAGTCTTACGCTCAAACCGATAAAACGATTGAAAGACAATCCAGGTCTGTAGTTTTAGCGGTTGTCTTCGTTTTCTCGTAGAGTTTCTGTTCTCTGTACGAGCTGGTTTTCTATTGGAATCTCTTTTGTCCGTCTTTTATTATTGCTCTTTCTGCCTTGTTGCTCGTTTTTGCATAGGAGATTTCGTAGGATTGTTCTCTGGAAGTTTTACGGTGAATTAAAAAAAAGAAAGAAAAAAATGGCAGGAATGATTGCGACAAATGGGAAACTGGGCGTTTCTAGTTTTCATGGAAATGGGGTTTTTGCTTCAAAGTGTCGCCAAACTTCGTTTTCTTCATGTGGGTTTTCTCTTATTCGGAGACCCAATTTCGGTATCGGTTTAAACGTTAAGAATAGAAGGCGAAATTGTGGAACAGTCACTAGAGCTGGGTCGAATGGAGGGTCTGATAGTAAGTTGGTTGGTGGTTCGCTTCTTGAAAAGGAATTTGAGTTCAAGCCATCGTTTGATGATTACTTGAAGGTTATGGAGTCGGTTAGAACCGTGAGAGATAAGAAACAGAAATCGACGCATAATTTGAGAGAAACATTCTTGTCTGAAGGGAATGAAGAGAGTGTGAGATTGGGGAAGTCTGAAGAGCGTCTGGACCGAGGAAAGGCGTTGGATTTTGTTGACAAAGATGAGTCATTCAAGAGTAGAGATGGGGTCAAGAAAAAAGAGAGTCAAAGGAAAAAGATAACAGAACTTAAGGGCAGGTTTGAAGGCACAGAAAACAATTGGACTGGAAGGGGAAAGAGGAAGCCGGTACGATCTCTAACGGGCAGAAAATGGTCGAAACAGCAGACTCGCGAGGAAGATGCAGAAGCTAATAACTATAACATTGACATGAGAAGGGAACATGAGGATAAAGCAAATTCCTCGCGGGTATTAGGGAACAAGAGGAGTGATGATAGCATATGGAATGACGGATCAATGGCTAAAGCTGGAGTGAGAGAGGAAACTGGTGTTGTAAATAACAAGTGGCGTGAGAGGAATCGCATCCAAGATAACAAAGTCATTGATAAGGATATTGTACCAAAACATGGAAGAATAAATAGGAGAACTGAAGTTGATGACAAAAGTTTGAGAGAGGAACGAGCTGCCTTCAGGAATTTTGATGACTATAATGACATTTTGGGCAAGCCACGACTTCCAAGGATGGAAATGGATGAGAGGATCCAAAAGCTAGCAATGTCGTAAGAAATTTAATACCCTTCCTCTTTTAGTGTACTTGTTGGAAGTTTGTTTTTTCGATAGCTGATATATCTTTCCAAAGGTTACCAATATTTAACAATCTAGAACTAACTATTCCCATACAATGAAGAGCATGAAACTTCGGATTATGTATTGATTTTTGGCAGTGTAGTATAAATATATATGATTATCGCCTAACGTACTGGCTAAAAGGCAGAATATGATCTACATCAAAAACATCATTCAGAATATTCTCCACCTTCATTAGGACATTAGATTGACACTGGAATTTTGTAATATACTTTCAAACATGTCAATAGTTTTTTTGTTTAGTTTCACTTCGCTGGTGTATATCATGTGTGATTTATTGTATCCTGTGCAGAGAACTTTTAGCTTTTCTCTTTTGGTTACCCTTCATGTTCCTGCAAATAGTGTGTATGCTAATACCAATCAACATTTTTCAAGGAGGAATTATTTCTTGAGCAGAAAAATTTTCATTTATGGAGATGGTCTTAGAAAGGGATTGTGATGTTTATATGGTTTTCTCATCATTTAGAACTACAAACGGTTGCTGTCCTTGAATTGATTATTCTGGCAGTGATGTTGGCAAGCTTGTTTGCCATGGTTGAATTCTCTCAACCTAAATACACATATCTTTACCATCTTCAAATTATTCTCGAGTATGATGATCTCTTGATCTCGTGGTCTCTTCATTTTAGTAATTTATTTTATCAGGCTGAATGGTGCAGACGTTGATATGCCAGAGTGGATGTTTTCGAAGATGATGCGGAGTGCAAGGATTATATTCACAGACCATTCTATTTCAAGGGTTATTCAGATCTTGGGAAAATTCGGAAATTGGAGGAGGGTGGTACAAGTCATTGAGTGGCTTCAAATCCGTGAACGCTTCAAATCTCATAAGCTTAGGTAATTGTTTCTCCACTATCATGTTCTGATCGTTGCATACTTCCTGACAGAGATTACAAATCTAGAGAATAGATATCTTAATAAATTTTAGAGAAAAACGAAGAATATGTTAGAATAGTTGGTAAAGCCATCCTAGAGGTTGATTTGTTGCACTAAAAAAATGTTCTGATATGTTAGAAGTCCAAATTTTCTGAAGCCACATAAATTAAATGTCTGAATAAAAGGCCTAATCTTCCAAATGGCCCAGTTCACCTCAAATGAGAGAACAATCTAAGTCCGTCCTTACCCAAGATACTTTACATATAACTGGAAATCTGTAGTATTACCAGCTACCAGGCGATGAAGAAGAAGAAGGGACAAAGTTACACTTGACCTTTAACATGTATATATATGATAATATCCTTAAATTTAAACAGAAAAAGGTGCGCCAATCATCCATGTTGAATTCCTTCAACTTTTTCGTCGTTCTCCTAGAACTTCCTTCATAATTTGCTATGTAGATGATACCATTATTAATTATGTCCTTTACTGTCATTCTGCTTATGTTACTCAACATCATCAAACAGCCAAAGCCATTGCTCTGTGATGGCCAGAAAACCAAAAGTACTTCAAATTTTATTAGACACAAAATTCATGGGGTAACCACATCCTAGGCTTCTTGAAAACAGAACACCATACTTGAGGCAGTTCTTGAAAAGCCTTATTATGAGATTTACAGAACTGTCTAATATAGAGAAGAATTCACTGTTATAGAGCTGGAGAAGACTTAGCCCTTAAATAATTTGGTTATTTTCTTCTTTTAAAAACCTGTCCTGGCAGTGGTAATTGTCATCCATGAAAATAATGTCTCTTGCACTGCCTCTCCATGGCCCTCTAAGTGGAGAAATTTTCTGGTGTAGCCATTTTTGTGTTCTTGAATGACTGCAGTAAATCACTATATTGTGCAAAATTTTCTTTTGATAAGTATTATCTTTACAATCTTAAGGCAGATCTTTGAAAGCCTTATCATGAGATTTGCAGAATTATCTAAGCTGGAGAAGAATTCTCTGTTATAGAGCTGGAGCCCTTAAATTATTTGGTTATTTTCTTCTTTTAAAAAACCTGTCCAAGTAATTGTCATCCACGAAAACAATAACTCTTGCACTGCTTCTTTATGGCCCTCTAAGTGGAGAAATTTTCTGGTGTAATTCTCTGTTTCTGAATGACTGTAGGAAATCACCATATTGTGCAAAATTTTCTTTTGATAAGTATCATCTTTTCTATCTAGGTATATTTACACGACTGCACTTAATGTTCTTGGAAAGGCAAGGAGACCTGTGGAGGCGCTCAATGTATTTAACGCAATGCTGGTAATATGTTCTCGCCTTTTTCTTTGCATAGAGATAGTGTGATCTTTTCGTTTCACATGAAAGCATTAATATACTATTTATAAGCATGGAGAAAGAAAACTCTTAAGAGTCTATAATATTTTTCATTCTCATATTTCCTGCAACAGCAACATATGTCCTCTTATCCTGACTTAGTAGCTTATCATTCCATTGCTGTTACTCTTGGACAAGCGGGTTATATGAAGGAACTTTTTGATGTCATTGATACTATGCGTTCTCCTCCTAAGAAGAAGTTCAAAACAGGGGCTCTTGGAAAGTGGGACCCACGAGTAGAACCGGATATCATCATGTACAATGCGGTGCGTATACTTTTGGTGATAATGCTATAATGCCAAGACTCATAAAAATCTTCAATTTTCATTTTCAATTAACACGCCTTAAAGAGGTAATTTAAATCAGCATGGAACGGATAATGGTGTCTATTCTTCTTGGATATCCTTAAACTCATTTAACTGTAGCTTTCACAAATGAGTTTCTCTGAAAACTTATATTTATTTCTTTGGTGTGCATGCATGTTTGCCTACACACCTTACGGCAACATGTTGTTGCACTTGGATTTTGACCTGTGGAAAATAGAAGCTGTCAGTTTTTAGTGGAATGCAAACATGAATTGCATGCATCATACGCATTTCCAGATATAGAGCATGTTTTGTTCTTTCCTTGTTAAATTTTTTTCCTTTTATATATGTGTGTGTGTTTGGTGTATACGTCTCTATCTGTTTATTCAGATGTTTATATCAAACATTTTGTCTTTTCAGGTTTTAAATGCATGTGTTCAGCGAAAACAATGGGAAGGAGCGTTTTGGGTTTTGCAGCAATTGAAGGAAAAAGCCTTAAACCCTTCAGTCACAACCTATGGACTTGTTATGGAGGTAATACTTAGTCTAGTTTTTGTAGCCTGCTGTTTTCAATTTTTATTTTATTTTACTTTTTGCCCATCTGTAACCATGATAATTATTCAGTCTTGTTACTGTGGTTTCTTAGTTTATTCTTTGCTTATGATACAAATTTCTTTCTTGATTCATTAGGCATGAGATAGATACGACCAATTTACTTGCCTTTTGCTGTGGGTTGTAACACCAATTCACAAAATTTGACACACTTTCTTTCAAGTTTTCTTGGCCCAACGATAGAAAGCAGCTATTTTAAAGTTAGATTGCTTCTTGGTATCAGGGGATACCAAAATAATGTTCTATTTTTCTTTTGAAGGTAAAATAATGTTGTGTTAGGGAATTTTTGACCTTTGGAAAATGAGCAGTGGGAAAAATGTAAAAAGGGCGGTAAAATAGTTTCTTCTTCTCATGAAAAAAGAAGAAAAACCAAGGAGATGGTAGATCTTATTTTGTGGTCAGAAACAAGTATCAGAGCTTTGAAGATCTCTAGAACAACTACGAAGGCTTCTAGCAAAAGCAACAAAAAAGAGGGGAAAAAAAAGAGGAAAAAGGAACAACTAAGAAGGCTTCAAAACACCACTGTTTTAGGTCTATGTTTTTATTGGCGAATGGAGGTTTAGACGGATTCTTTGTTGAGCTTTTATTTTTCTTCTTATACCATGAGGCTTTATCTTGCTTAGGTTTTGTTTTGTTTTATTTATTTATTTAATTTGGTTTATAGAGTTCATTAGGGTGTTAGAAGGCTGTTATATTAGCATGTATCTCAATTTTAATTTTTTTTTATTAATGACCAATATTTTATTTTATTTTTGTTTTGGGAACAGGTAATGCTTGTATGTGGCAAGTACAACTTGGTTCATGATTTTTTCAGAAAAGTACAAAAATCTTCTATACCAAATGCGTTGACATATAGAGGTACCCTACTGCGCTACCGTTTTCATCTGCTGCTTAACCTAATCATAATCTCATTGTAAATATGGCTTCTTAAATATGCAGTTCTTTTGAATACCCTATCGAAAGAAGGTAAATTAGATGAGGCTGTATTGGCTGTTCAAAACATGGAGAAACGGGGAATAGTAGGTTCTGCTGCTCTTTATTATGACTTAGCTCGATGCCTTTGTAGTGCTGGAAGGTGTCAAGAGGCGTTAATGCAGGTACCTGTGGTGCTCAGTCTGTTTATATTTTCTTTTTGGTATTTTCTTCCTTTATACGTACTACGATCTTTGAACCTGGTGTTTAGCATGTGTTTTATACGTATGGTAGTTACTGAATAGAATTTAAGCTTGATTGGTTTTAGAACTGGGATAGAGTTGAATTGTCAAAAATAAGGTTTACTAAATGATATAATCAGAAATTGGTCTCCATTCTTGTAATTTTAGTTTTTTCTTTTTATTTTCGTCTTAAGAGGATACCTCCTCTTTTGATTTGTACATAATTCGTTTTATATTAATAAAGTCTCCGGTTTCCAAAAAAAAAAAAAAAAAAGAAAAAGAAGAAGAATAGTCAAAAAGAAAAATGAATTGATGAACCTTGTATCTATTATGACTAGTAAAATTTCTTAGATCCATAGACAAGAGTGCTGTGGATCTTCTGCTCTTAAAGCTGTCATCTACTTAGTAAAAAAATGATCTTTTGTTCTCTACCTATAGTGTTTTTCCTGTAGTAATTGCCAAAGCCCTGTTATAACTCTTTCTGATAATCTGGGTATATGGTACTGTGACATTTGCAAAGAAAAGTAACACGATCTGTATAGGAACTTGTAGGGTTTAACCATGAGTACTTTTTTCTTTTTGGTAAATGGTTAAACCATTAGTACTTGCCTCAAAGGTGGTATAGAGTACATAACGCTTGCAAGAAGAAACGCGGAATGTCTGGGAAAGAGCCCCGAACCCCGCTTTTTTGTGGGCGCCATTATCTAATGATTTTAGACTTTCCTTTTATTTTGATTTTGTCACCGAGGTAGCTATTTTTAGTTCCCGGTTTATTAATGTAGCTTTTTGTGAGTTGTTGATGGACTAGTTATGTAGTATCTTTGATGTGCGTACACTTATGCTTACACAAGCCACGCAATATATATGCTTGGACCTTTGAGAGTTTGAACAAAGTAATATGTTGCAACTGACCACGATGTGGGGAGGAATGATAAACAAGGGGTGGTGAGATCTGCTACTAGTGCTTCTAGAGTAGGGTGGCTTGTAGAGAGTTGTTAGTGTTTAGTGGTTTTAGTTAATTGCTGGCACGGTGCGCTTAGATCATTTGACCGATATTAAACATGAAAAATATCATGTGCCCTGTTGTGTTTGAATACTTTAAGAACATCTCCGGTGTAGTGGCAAATTACTGTGTGAATGCAAAATTTTAACATTTGAGTATTCTTTGTGCTAAATTTGGCATATGCTCTACTTAGTGGCAAATTTTGCACCAAGAATAGCATTAGCATGTGCCAAATTTTGACTTGATTGCTATTGGTTGATATATTTACTTTTTCATTTAATCATTACCAACATTGACAACTTTCAATTTAAAAGTTTACTTTACAATTTTTGAAGCTTAATGATTATAACAAAAAACGAATATAGATTTAACATTTGAAATAACATTTTTTATTTAAGTACAAGCGAAAATAATATATCAAATATGCTAGTTTTAGACCCAAATATGACATTGACATTAGGATTTACATTGGAGACGGTCTAAGTTTGTAATAATTAGAGCATCTCGAATGTAGTACTAATGTCAAATTCTGATATTTGAGTGAAAAATCGCTCTCCAATGCAATGCTATCTTTTATGTTAACTTTAGCAAACCAAGATGTTACACTTGGTGGCAAATTTGGCACCAAGTATAGCAAATGTCAAATTTGCTCGTGATTGCTATTGATTGACATATTGGGGTTTTATTTATTTATTTATTTAATCATTATATTAAGCCTTTTTAAAGATATTTTAGTATTAAAAGTTTACTTTTACAATTTTTAAAGATTAATAATTATTATTTTAATTTTTTTTATACAACACGGGATTGAACTCGCAACCCCTCACCGAAACCCCATCTCACCCAAATCTCCCAGTGCCACTAGACCAAGAGGTCTTAGACCAAAGATTAATAATTATGACAAAAAGTTGAAACTGTTTTGGTTTTGTTTTTTGGATTTCTCACCCTCGTCACCTTGTATTGATTAAAGCAATAAAGGTTTTTAAAGCAAAATAACCACTAAATCATGTGTAAAGGCAAGAAGCCACAAAGGTCGTGGTGCTTTCCTCCTTTCCTCTCACATTTCTCTATTTCTATTTTTATTTTGCATTCGTAGACTGATATTCATATAATGTGAAGGTTATGCAAGTGCATTACTTGTTGCTCAGAGTGTGCGAGCGAGTAGGCTGATGACCCAAAAGAAAATCTGACAAATAGTTGGAGGAATCACTACTGGCCGAAATTGCAACCTACCATAATGCGTTTACAATGTTCCCATTTTCTTTATGTAGCTTAGGAATCGGATCACCTGTAATGCCATTCATTCTTTTCACAGATTGATAAGATATGCAAGGTTGCAAGTAAACCCCTAGTGGTAACTTACACTGGATTAATTCAAGCTTGCCTCGACTCGGGAAATATCGAAGATGGAGCATATATTTTCAACCATATGAAGGACTTTTGCTCCCGGAATCTTGTTACTTGTAACATAATGCTGAAAGGTTATCTGAAACATGGGAAGTTCAAAGAAGCAAAAGAGCTGTTTGAGAAGATGTTACAAGACGCCAGTCTTATCAAGAGCAAAGCTGATCACAAGGCTTTGGTGGCACCAGATATCTACACGTTCAATACTATGTTCGACGCATGCATCACCGAGAAGAAGTGGGATGACTTTGAGTATGCCTACAAAAAGATGCTGCACCATGGCTATCACTTCAACGCAAAGCGTCATCTTCAGATGATACTGAATGCTTCCAGAGTAGGAAAGGTATATATATATATTTTTAAATGCTTTTGTGCCATGTTTTCATCTTCCTTTTTGTTTCGTTTTGCTTGTGGAGAAGTATTGTGACAATTACGTCACATTGATTCTGGGAAGAAGCTCAAAATTAAATGCCATTGTCATTTCAAAGGGTATCCTATGGGTTGATTCGATTCTCAAATGGGACAATGACAAAAACCTCATCTGTGTTTAATCAAAATGCAGGAACTTACCCAGTGTTTTAAAAAATGTTGAGATCATACCTTGTGTTTTCTAATTCGACAAAACCCACCCGGGTGTTTTTCTAATCATTGAAAATCGATCCCTAGTCTCATATTTAGTCAAAATTAAAAATATAGGGCATATTCTTTGATTTTGATTAAACATAGCTCAGAGAAATTTATCCCCTGCGATTGGAGGTTGTTTCTTCCTGGGGAGCAAAAGCATTATTACCTTTTGAAAGCCTCACCAAATGGAGCCTTGCAGATTTGAAACCTGTAAACATGTCTAGATTCTGTGTTTCCTCCCTATAATTATTAATTCTAATCTCATTGGTTTTTTTTTTTTGGTTGTATGCCCATGTAATTTTTTAATCTTACTTCTCTCCATGCTAAGCTCATGACTCCCTTTTTGACGTTGTGCAAAATGCCCAACCAAAAAGTGGAGGGAAGTGATGAGAACTTTGGGGAATTTATGTACATATGTGTGTGTTTTGTGGATTGCAGAGTGGTGAATTTGTCTCCTTTATAGATTCCAGTCATAATATGTGAAAATTTTCTTTAATATAGCACCTTAAAATTTGTTTCAACAGTTTGTAAACTCCATGGTTTTCAGGGAGAGTTGTTGGATATAACTTGGAACCACTTGGTCGAGGCGGATCGGATTCCACCGTCGTCTCTCATCAAAGAAAAGTTTTGCATGAAGCTGGAGAAAGAAGACTACATTGCTGCCCTGTCTTGCATTTGCAATCAAAATCTTTCCGAATCGCGGGAATTCTCCAAGAAGGCTTGGTCGAAATTACTAGACGAAAATTCTGAAAGGTTTAGGAAAGGTACTCTTGTCAGGTTAATTCGAGAGATTGACAATATTATTGCCAGAAGTGACCAGCCAGATTCTGTGTTGGTGAATCTTTTAGTATCTTGCAAAGAACTTTCTAGAACTTGTGTGGTAGCCGATGTTGAACTAACAGAAACTTTCACTACACTCCAAACTGATCCAGCTTCGAAACTGTAATCAACGTTGTTAGTTTTTGGCCTTTATTTTTTTTTCCTTCTTTCTAATGAAGCTGAAGTATTAAGATAGGTTAATACCAAAACACATGAATTGTGTCTGGCTATGCATAATCAAAGCAAAGGGAAAATTAGGCGAATTGCCGTTTTTTAGCCACTTTTTTTTATTAAGTAGCTGAACTTTTTACTTGACAAATGGTTGAACATTTCCTAGGGAAATGACTGATTTTTATAGTAGTTAATCAATTATAAATCACGATCAAATCATTCATAAACTGGTCTATCATCAATTTACATTGAAAAAAAAATGTAATTTGCTTAAGGATATATTTAAAGAAAAATATTTATCAACTGGTCTATCATCAATTTACATTGAAAAAAAAAAAGTAATTTGCTTAAGGATATATTTGAGGAAAAATGTTTTAGTGGAGTAAAAAAAAAATAGTTAAACACATACGGGTCCGTTTAGTTCGTTGATTCGAGTTTTTAATTCGAGTTGATATGTGATTTTATGTGAGAGCTTTTTACTGTAGTAAAAAAGTTAGATGTGACTGTTTGTGAGAACTTTTTACTGTAGCAAAACTCGAATTCTAAACTTGAATCAGCGAAATGAACAGGGCCTAAAATATACAGAGGATTGTAAGAAAACTACTTGAGTTAGAACATATTTGTAAAAAAATATTTTGACTGAGAAATTAGAGAAGAGAGAGAGAATTTAACGAAGTGGATTTGAAAATATTTGTGAAGGTCGAAAATGAGAAGATACATAGAAGCATATAATCGATATGTATATATATATATATGTATATGTATGTATTTATATATGTGTTTTCATAGAGTGGAGGGTTTAGTTTTGGGTGTTATATATAATTATTATATCCTTAGGTATGTCATTATCACTATTCTGCCGCTTTCCGAAGAAAGCGTCACTTTTCAAATTAATTTCTTTTCGATGTTTGACTTGTCAAATGTGCAAAACTCTCAAGAATTGGTCCCCAAATTTGGTCACCTTCCCACGTTTCCTTTTAATGAAAGTTACATACAAAATGAATGAAGTTGACAATTCTTTTTTTTTTTCCTATTTCAAAATCAATTCCTAAGTTTTTTTTTTTTGTTTTTTTGTTTTTTTTTTTTTTAAGAATGGAGGCCCTATATTATATGTTTGTAAATGCGACTCCTAATTCAATTTTTTTTTTAGAAGGAACTCCGAATTCAAATGTTCCTTTCATGTTTACTTTTTTGTCTTGCGCTCCTTTTAATGGTTAAATTGCATTTTTTTTTTAAATCGACAAATTTATTCTGTAATAATTACAGTCCTCTAGTTTATTGTATATTTGAATAGCAATCATATATGAATGTCCTCTCAATTAGTATTCATGGGAATCTCTTTTTTAAATTTGCATAAAATTTGATTTGTAGTTTCTTGCTTAATTTCTTTGTCCATTTTTGCTTTTCATTGACATTTTTTTTACTGAACTTTCATCAATATAAATGCCATATTTAATATTTATGACTGAATTTATCGTTCGGAATCTCTTTGACAAATAATTACACTAATTTTTCTCAAGACTTTTAGGCACGCTTAGTTACAATGAGAGAATGATAATGATAATGAGACTGATAATAGTAATGGTAATGGAATAAAAAAAAAGTTAAATCATTTCTTTGATTGTAATTTTAAGAATACTATGGAATAGAACATGAATATTTTCATGTTGACAAAATTAGCTTTATGTTATATATAAAATTAATATTTTATATATCAATATAATTAATATAATATATAAAAATGTAATATAATATAATATAATTATTATTATATAATTATGATATAGAATATAATATTAATATTAAAATGGTTAATATTAGGGGTATAAGAAATCTGACCACCCGACATAACCCGGCCTACCTTTCCCGACCCTATTCAGTTTTTTTTCCTTTTCCTGGTTTCAAATAAGGCCAACCCGAAATTTGCGAGTATGGGCGCGAGCTGGTCTCTTTTCAACCCACTGTAGGCCGACCCGGGCAAATTCCTCCGACGTTCCTCTTCTTCTTTCTTAGTGTTTCCTCCATCGCCGCTTCTTCTTCTTCTCAATTCCTCCGCTCCGCCGTTCCTCTTCTTCTTCTTCATCTCACTTCCTCCGTCGTAGCCTGAAATTTTCAGTTACAATCGTTCAGTCTAGGCCCGCCCAATCATTCAGGCCCAAACTATGGCTTTTGATGGTATGATAGTAAGATACCAACCAGGCCTGCCCAATCGTTCAGGCCCAAACCATGGCTTCTGATGGTATGATAGTAAAATACCAACCACATATGACTACAAATTTAGAGTTGGTTTACCTGAAGTAACCCGGACGACCCGAGGTTACCCGAGGTAACCTAATAGTGTATGGTTTCTAAGAGCAAGTGAGCTGTTGTGGCCCACAGTTTTCTCAGCCCGATTCTTGCAAGCCGGCCCAAATCTTATCAAAAAACTGACCCTACCCGGCCGAATTTCACCCCTAGTTAATATAATTATAATATTATGAAATATATTATAAGATTATATAATAAATGATAATATTTCAATTAAAATATAGTTAAAAATTATAACTATATTATATTATATTATATATAGTTATAATATAATATATATTATTTTATATTATATATAGTTATAATATAATATATATTATTTTATATTATATTAAATAAATATATTATGATTAATACATTATATAGTTATACACTTTTCGCAAGGCGCACAATGCATTTTATTTTTTGCAATATTACAACTTATTATATTTTATATTACTATAACTATATTATATTATAATATTTTTATTATATATTATATTATATTACATATTATACCAACTATATAATATATTGTAATTATATTATAATATTGAAGGATAACTATGAGAAAAAATGAAAAAAAGAGTTTGGAATGGCTATTCCTTTCATGTTATGAAGTAATAATGATTCATTCAAAATAGGTGAATGACCATTTTTTTTTTTATAAATCTAACTAAACATCATATTTAAATTTCATTTCATTATATCCCTTTCCTCTCCATACAACCAAACAAACCCTTAATTCTATTCAGTGGTCAAACTTAATTCTATTCAGATATTTGTTGGAGAGCCAAATCAACAAGACAAAGAAAAAAAAAGAGTAGAAAATCGACATAACGCCGTGGCGCTAGTCAGTGAGCGCCACGCGCCAAGAACTACTGCAAGCAGTTGTTTGGGCAAAGAACATAGCGCTGCAACACTATGCGCACGAGCACTAGTTTTTCCATGATTTTGGGATTTTTTTTCTTGAATTTCCTATTCTTGTACACATATAAATAGCCATTGTTAAGCTTATATTGTCGCGAGTTTTTTTTTTTTTTTTTTTTAAATAAAGAAAATAGAGTATTGAGAGGCTAGAAACATCTTTGAGAGTGAAAGAAACACAAAGTGAGATTGAAATAATTTTCTTGTAACAGTTCTTTAATAAATATAGTGAAAGTTGTGGCGGTAAAAACAAGACGTAGCTAAATTGAATGTAAACCTATATAGAAATTTCTAAATGTGATTCTGCTTTATTTTTCTTTTCTTGCAATTTTTCGTTCCCGGTACTAGAAATAGGTTTCGCCTAATTTTTCCCTAACAAGTTGACATCAAATCGTACAACAAATTGGAAGTTTGGAAAGTGTCACTACACATTGTTGCAGGCCCTCTACTTTTATATATGTTGGTGTGAGTCAAGAACTGGACCAATTATATTTATACACACATATATATATACACACACGTATGTATATGTTGACTTCAGAAATCAAATGAAATTTGGATAAGTGTCCACTCATTGATTACATGGCAGCCAATTAATTAGGAGGAGTTTTCCTTTTTGCCTTGCTGAAGGGCTCATTAGGAACTTTAGGGGTTATTCTTTTAGCGTGTAATTTGAGTGTAGTTTTTTAGTTGAATTTGAATTATAATTTGAGTTAAAGTTATAATTTGAATAAAATTGAGTAAAATTGAATAAAGTTGAAACTTAAAAGAATATGAATTTAAATAAAATTAGAACTCGAATTATCTTTTTTTAAGTTTTTTAGACAAAAGAACGCGCTCTTATTTTCCCCCTATTTTGTTTTTCTCTACGATAATCAGTTGGAGAAATAGTGACTTTTATTATTCTTTATTATTTTATATCTCTTAATTCCAATATCGTTTCCGCTACAGGAAAACTCAAAGCAGTGAATAATTTGTGCTAATTAATTGTGTGTTCAAATCAAGTTTTTTTTTTTTTTTTTTTTTTTTTTTTTTTTTTTTTAAAAAAATTAAAATTTTTTTTTAATTATTTGTTTTTTAAAAAAAATTTTTTTTTTTTTTTTTTTTTTTTTTTTTTTTTTTTTTTCAACAAAGTTAAAATATGTTAATTTGAGCTGTCCAAATTAATACATACTACATATTAACAAATTAAGCAACTTGGCTGAGGAGGTTTCACAATTAGGTTTTGTTTTTAATTAAACGCGTAAAACAAAGGTTTCTAAGTAGTGGCAAACTATATCATATGTTGTTTTTTAACATTGATAAAATTAGGAAATAATTCGTTTGCCATGTGATCCTTTGCTTCAAATCATTTTATCTTAAACTTTCTTTCTGTCCTCACATGTCATAGTTGCATTTGCTCTCTCTCTCTCTCTCTCTCTCTCTAATAATGTGAACCAAGGATTTAAAATACTAAAAGTCCTCTCTCTTTTTGGTTTTAAGCAACAAGTTTGAAGTGTTGTTTAAAGGAAAAAAATATTATATATATGTATATATATATATATACATATATAATCTGCAATGACTTAAAAAATATATTATATATATGAAGCTAACTTTGAGTAGAATAGTAAAGTCCGACCACATTTTGATATATATATATATATATATGCTTTGTACTTGGATGCTTCCCGAGTTAATTGGGTCGTTGTCCACTCACCAGAAAAGTCAACAAGAAGTTAGGTAAAGCATATAGACTTGGGAAAAGAATTTCAAAGAAAAGGAGA